AAATCCAAGATTTAGCATTAGAGTGTGAAGGTTTTAAGTGGGGCGAAATTTGAGAGAAATCGGATAAGAGAATGAAGAAATATGAGAAAATGATGGATTTTTTAGTTTTAGGGATTTTAAGCTCGATTTTTGCTGATCTGGTTCCTTAGGATTGAGAATGGGAGCTAGGTATTCAATCTTGGACTAGATTGTTTACCCCATGTCTCATTCCCTACCCTAGGATCGACTATAAGCGTTCTCTACTCGATCTTGGGCCAATGCTATTACTTGCTTTTAATATTTACTTCACAGATTCGATCCTACAAGCACTAGGATCGAATCCTTAGGTCCAAATTCGTAAAAATTGATTATTATGAAGTCTAAACTCATTCTAATTCTTTTCCACAACCTCCAATCATTCACATTTCACTTAAGATCAACACATAAAGTCATCATGTATACCAATTTCTCATTCATGCCCTATGTCACATAGTATATCAATTAAGCATAGCATAATTTACATACATATCTTACTCAACTTAGTGCCAAATATATGCATTATATCATTCATGTGCCAAGCATATGCACAACATCATTTAAGCTTTTACACACTCATACATTTCATGACCATCTCTCTCTATGGACATACGCATTCCTCAGGTTCATAAACATACGTATTGAAGTTCATATAAACTATAAGTTAGTCCAGTGTCATGCGTGGCTAACATCAAAATTGGGAGTGTTATTGCATGGATAATATAAAATGTCATATAACCATGTCATTATGTCACATCAACATACTACATCATTATTAATTATAACATATCAACATGTCATTTGATATTTTTTAACTATAAAAGTTTATTTGACTCAAAGTAAAAATATAAGAATTTAATTGAATGTAATGAACGATTGAAGAATTTTTTAAATTTTTAAATATTATGCTTAAACGAGTTTAATTTCAAAATTTAGTGGTTATTGTCTTGAACAGAAAATTGTCCAACATTCTTACAAGAGGCAGAAATGCAGAAGGCATTTAACATTTGGAAGATTAAGGCTGTCACCGCGCCAAATGATTAAACCCCTTAAAACCTCGTGAAATCCCTCAGCTCTTCTTTCTTTTTCGCATTCCCCCTTCTGATGTCAAAAACCCTTCTCTCTCGCATCAAACCCTTCCACATCCCAAAACGCAATCCTTCTCCACCGTTTCGCTTCCCTCCCCACCTCAAAGACCTCATCACTGAAACCATACAAATCCTGAAAACCCACCCACAGTGGTCAGATTCCCTCGAAACCCGTTTCTGCGATGAAGAAACCCGCGTTTCGGAGGTTGCCCATTACGTGTTTGATCATATACACGACGTAGAATTAGGCATAAAGTTCTTTGATTGGGTCTCTAAGCAAGAACCTCAGCATTTTCTCCTTAATGCGTTGGCTCATTCTTCTTTCTTGAAGCTCCTAGCGAGGTTTAAACTGTTTTCTGAGATCGAAACCGCATTGGAGAACATGAAAATGGAAGAAATAAAGCCTACACATGAAGCTTTAAGCTTTATTGTTCTCGTTTATGTAGATTCTGGCTTTGTTGATAAAGCTCTTGAGTTGTTTTACTCTGTGGTTAGTATTTACAACTCTGTTCCTAATGTGTCTGCTTGTAATTCATTGCTTAATTCACTTGTGGAGTTAAAAAAAGTGAAGATCGCGTGTAAAGTGTTTGATGAAATGGTTAAAAGAGAAGGCTGTGTTGACAATTATAGTGTCTGCATAATGGTGAAGGGTTTATGTAAAGTAGGAAAGGTTGAGGAAGGTAAAAAATTGGTCGAGGATAGATGGGGAGAAGGGTGTCTTCCGAATGTTGTTTTTTATAATACATTAATTGATGGGTATTCCACTAAAGGGGATGTCCAAAGAGCGAAGGAACTTTTCAAGGAGTTAAAAATGATGGGGTTTTTGCCTACATTGAAGACTTATGGAGCTATGATAAATGGGTTTTCTAAAAAAGGGGATTTCAAGGAAATTGACAAGCTTTTGAAAGAAATGAAAGAAATGGGGTTGGGTGTTAATACTCAGGTTTATAATACTATTATCGATGCTCAATGTAAGCATGGTTTTGAGGTTAAAGTAACAGAGACTATAAAGCAGATGATTGAGAGTGGATGTGAACCTGATATTGTTACGTATAACACTTTGATTATTGGTTTGTGTAAGGATGGGAAGGTTTGGGAAGCTGGTCAACTTCTGAATCAGGCAATGAAGATGGGATTGATACCAAATAAGTTTAGTTATACTCCTTTGATACAAGGATATTGCAGAGTAGGGGAATATTTTGTGGCATTGGATTTGCTCATTGAAATGACAGAGAGTGGACATAAACCTGATTTAGTTGCTTTCGGAGCTCTTGTCCATGGACTTGTTGCAAAGGGAGAGGTGGATGCTGCATTAACGATTAGACACAGGATGGTTGAAAAGGGAGTATTGCCTGATGCTGGTATATATAATGTTTTGATGAATGGACTTTGCAAGAAAGGAAGATTTTCTGCTGCTAAAGTCCTCCTTGCTGAGATGCTTGACCAAAATGTAACCCCTGATGCATTTGTTTATGCAACCCTGGTCGATGGATTTATCAGGAATGGTGATCTCCTTGAGGCAAAGAAACTATTTGAAATGATGATTAAAGAAGGCATGGATCCTGGTACTGTTGGATACAATGCCATGATTAAGGGTTTCTGCAAATTTGGACAGATGAAGGAAGCACTGTTGTGTGTCACTAGAATGATGGAAGTGCAGGTCACCCTAGATGAGTACACGTACTCTACAATTATAGATGGTTACATAAAGCACCATGACATGTATGGTGCACTAAGGGTGTTTGGACAGATGGTTAAAAGAAAATGCAAGCCCAATGTGGTGACATATACCTCTCTGATCAATGGATTTTGTCGAAGTGGAGATTTCAATACAGCTGAAAAAGCTTTTAAAGAGATGCAATCTTGTGGTTTGGAGCCTAACGTAGTCACATACACTATACTTATTGGGAGCTTTTGCAAGGAAGGTAAACTTGCAAAAGCAGTCTTCTATTTTGAATTGATGCTCTCTAACAAGTGCATGCCTAATGATGTTACTTTCCACTATGTAGTAAATGGCTTCTCAAACTGTCCAATTGCATTTCTGGATAATCAGTCTTTGGAGAAGAAATCTCTTTTTATTGAATCCTTTAATATGATGATATCTGATGGATCTGCTCAAAGAGCTGCTGTTTATAACTCTGTCCTCCTCTGCCTTTGCCAAAATGGAATGACTGGAATTGCTTTCCAGTTAAAGGATAAGATGACAAATAAGGGCTTTGTTCCTGACCCTGTGTCTTTTGCTGCCTTTCTGCATGGTATTTGCTTGGAAGGAAAATCAAAGGAGTGGAGGAAAATGATCTCCAATGATTTAAATGGACAGGAACTTCAAACTGCTTTGAAGTACTCGCAACTTCTGAGCCAATATCTACCTTATGGAATAACTTCAGGGGCATCACCTATTTTGAAGACCTTGATTAAAGACTGCAGCTCCAGAGACCAAAATGAAGATCTCATAGTCTCAGTAAAATAGAGGAAAAGTTGAAAGTAAAAGACCTCGGATTTATTAGAAAGTCATATGGAATTAGGTGGCTTCACAGGTAAAAATGAGGTAGGGTTGAGTGATTAACTGCTACTGTCACTAGAGTACTCGATGACTATATGGAGAACTCTTTTAGGTAGACCCTGACAATTCATTTTAGCTTCAGAACAACAAATAATGATGTGGCGTAAGTTATGGTAATGTATAGTCTGCTTCAGTTTCCACTTTTGCTGGAAGCTGAGGATGGCTATGGGCAATTATGGGCTAATCTCACTGGTGGTGCTTGTGCAGGAAGATCAACTCTAATTTTCATTCTATCAAAGCCATTATGTACAGTGAGAGATTCTGAGGCAGATTTGACTTGGAGGTATGTACCAGGATTTCATTATTGGACACTTAATATGAGTGTAATTGTGGAAGTGTCTATAATTAGTCTCTTACACTGCAGAAACAGTTAAGGAGCAGGATCCTTCATCCATCAATTGTTTAGCACATAATAAAAATCTGACTTTTGAAGTGGTTAATGAGCTCACAGGTAAGTAAAATATGAAACTAAGTTAATTGAGTATACATTCTAAATTAATATGTCGATATTTTTATACTGTGTGGAATTTTGATTACGATAGGTCCGGCTTTAGATTTTAAATTCATGGTTAAAAATTGTTATAATTGATTTGAGTATTCTATTGTAGGGGAAAAAATGTTTTTATCCTATATAGGATAAGAAAATTCTTACCATATTATACTACTCTAAGTGGCATAAGTTTAGTTGGCTGCATGACATTGCAACTTGTGTCTGTCATGCAATGTATGACTACATTTTACTTTCAATACATATATATAATTGGCTATATATCAACCAATTTTATTGTTGTGGTTGTTAAGATAGCTCGTGTAAAGTGATTTACATATAAACTATAACTCTGCATTAGGCAGCATGTAAGAGTATTTAACAAAGTAGGTTATGCTTTTAATAGTTTAGATCTTTGGAACTGCAAGTCAAGACGATTCCACTTTTCCAAGTGTTAAAATATTCAAATTGCTCTCAAAGTATTAGCTTGGTTTGTTCTTGTGATAGCCCATGAAGAGATGGGTCTTGAGCAGAACTGTGAACCTAAGAAATGGTTTCATAGTGGTGTATGGAGTTTGATTTAGCTAGGTCTACCCTGGCACACCCCCTGCCCCCACCTGTTTCTTTTGTTTTGAGTTATCAAATATCCGAAGATGTAAGGACTTTTGGTTTTTAGATATCAAATATCTGAAAATGTAGTATTTACTAGTATAAAAGCTATTATCAGTGTCCTAAATCAAATGCTCGCTAAAGATCAAATTTTAGGTTAAAAAACTTGGATAATGCAGCACCGATTCCTTCTTTGAACAAGTTTCCTTGAAAAACAACCCAGCATGCATCTTTAGAGTATAAAATAGTACTTGCATTACTTCTAAACAACATCAATATCCTTTTATGAAACAAAGATAACTGCATGTGGTCTCCCATGTGATTTCTGCCCTCTTATGTAGCAGACTCCAATAGTTATTGCTGATGTTACTGATATTTCTGTCGATCAGTCAAAGAATTTAGGAACTTGATATTAACTTCTTTATCACACTTCTAATTTGTTCCCTGCATGTATTTTTCTTCTACACAGGCCGAAGCTGGTATTATGATCTGATTGTTCTCATGCTAGCTAATTTCTCAAACCCTGCAACAAGTCATCATGGTTAAATCCAGAGGCATAAATTTGATATAAGTTGTCTATTATGTTTTCAATTGAAGGAAATGAAGAAGATAGAAGAGGAAGAATTTTACTGTATATATTCGATATTGACTTTCCTTCCATGTTGATGCACAATAGCTGCAAAAGCATCCCTGGACAGCATCATCGTAGAGGGGCATGGTGTGATAGGGCAGAAATCCACCACTTTGACATCAATGGTTCTATGCTTACACGGTCTCTGGGGTCCGCTTAGGCATCTTAATCTGTACCGCCTCCCACAAGCAGCTCCGTTGTCCCATAATCCCTCACTAACAGCAACAAACAGATTCCCAGGTGGAAACTGTTCTTCTCGATTACCATCACACTGAGTTGCTGCAAGGGAGAATACATGATAGAAAGGTGTAAGGAAGATACAATTGTTTGTAAGTCAAGTTTTGAATTTCTCTTCCAACAGGAGAGGCGTTTGAATAAAATTCTCAGAAGAGAAAGAGGTGAAGGAGAAAGAAAAGATACTCACGTATGTATGGAGGGTTATAAAATGTTGCAGTGCCGATTTCCCCATGGACAAAGTATACTTCTTTGCTTATTGCTGCAGCAATCATAATTGCCAAGACCAGGAGTGCCATTACCTGAAGGAAACAATAACATAAAACTATTTGTCCCCTTTTCTGCTTCTGAAAGAGAAGTTTTACTACCATGATAAAGTTGGGAGGGTATATATATCTACGTATCTCATTAGGAAACTTCGTCAAGAATGATAATGTGATGTTGGTATCGAACATTTCGGGTAACCCGTAACACGGTTAAGATCACCAAACTTGTAAGCGAAAGTCACTTGATTTCGTGTACAGCTTTGGTTAGCTTGCGACATGATCTCATTCACTAAGCCTTTAACTTTAGCACACAACTAAAGTCAATTATGAGAGTTGGTTTACACAAAGGGTTTTCTTTTCTCTTTGGACGTGTATTCTGGTCTCGGTAAAAGTATTCCGAGAATTATTGAATTATAGCATTTTGTTTAATTTAATTCTTTTTTTTAAAAAAAATATCTAATTTAGTTGTTATATTTTGCTATTTGGTGTAATTTGATTATGAATGAATAAATTTGTCTAAATTTGTTGTTAGAGATGTCGAACTGTCAAAAAATGTTGACGTAATGTTAGACATGTCAGAAATAAAAAAAAAATTTCTCAAAATTACTCAAAACCATTAAATCATAGGAAATAGCAAAATATAGAAATTAAAGTAGATAATTTATGTTTTAAAAAGAATTAAATTAAACAAAATGTTATAATATATAAACTTTCTCGATACTTCTACTGACCGGGATTGTATTAACTACAAGATGTATCTATAAAATCTTTTGGTTCAGCCTGAAGCGAGGGCGAGGGAGAATATTTTTTTGATGTACGAGAGCCGTTTATTTGATGCTTTTTGCGTATGTTTCTTGACCATCCATTCCGCAATGGAAAGGCACCCATTTTGCACTAGTAAAAGTAGTACATAAACTTGTGGTTCTTGTTTGCTTTGCCTCAGCAGCATGCGAATTTGTTGATTGTTTCCAGATACGCGCCACTTCATGCAAAAGGAAGTATAGTTCATTAATTTATATCCAACATGTAAACCGCAAGAAATTGTCTGACGTGGATGAATATGAAAGGGGTTTCCTTCTGGCATGGCGTAGAAGAATGCTGACTGGCAAGGCTTGAAAAACACACCACCCATGGATTGCTTGCAAAGTTAAGGCAACCGGTTTAAGCAAAGATCTCATTGCTTAACATCTAAAATTCGAATTTTCCCTTTTTCAAATAAAAATAAATAAATATCTTTAGACGGAAGGGTCTTCTTCCTTCTTAAAAGGGTTTTCCATGTTGCAAAGTTTCTCGTTTTATCTAAAGATTGAGCCACAGTAGCATTATTTCTTCCTACAATTCCAATTCTTTTAGTGCATTTTAATTTATAGTACAGTTTTTTTGACTCGAGCTCAAAGGTTTTTGGTAGAACTACAGCTCAGAGGAGATAACTAGATCCAATGGCCCAAGCACTTAGGAGACCATGAGCATTGAAACTAGAGAAAACCAAGGGAATTATTAATGGTTTCCACTTTCCAAAGGAAATGCCAAGTGCAAACTCATCCAATCCACCAAGAAATTAGTCTGCAATGAACACGGGATATGGAACAAGACCAGTCCTATTCCCAAGAGCTGCTGAGTTGCTTTAATCAAATATCTTTGAGGATCAAAGGAACAAACCCTTCTCTTGGAAGAAGCACCTTGAGCACAGCCTGTGATAAATGCACTTACTTCAGTTTTATATCGCAATTTTACTTAAGAGCACAGTACCAAAAGAGAAACCAGGTTCTACAATATCAAGAACTGCTTCTTTCACCAGGCAAAAGTAAAAAGTCAGAAAAATATTGCATTGGAGTAGCTAATTGGCCATCAAATGTTTTACATTTAAGCCAATTACACTGTACGATTAAAATTTCAAGAATACCCAATTAGAAAGGTTACAAGTATCCCGCAGAATTATACAAAAAGAATACCTAAAAATTAACAATGAAATGTCACAAAGGGGAAGAGAAAAAAAGATTGAAACTATAATTCGAATTCACAAAAGCAGTCAGGCAAAGCAGACCCTCGTCCCATGACAAAATCTTCCTTGTGAACCTTCCATAAGGCTTCCATCAACTGCTTCCCTTCCAACCCTTCAGAAGTAAACTCCGAAAAAGCTCTTCTACTTAGGAAAAGAGTTTTGTGCAATCCTTTAAAAGCTCGCATTGCTGCCACCATCTTGTCCATGTTTCCAAAGTATGTAGCCACGTAAGAATCACTGTTTATAGATACATAATAATCCAAGGCAGCTTTTGTGTTCCCATGCATGCTTTTGAAATCCTCACTACTAAGAAGGGCAGACTTGGTAACTACATTGGTATAAATAGATGTTAAGCCTTCAATCTCCATTAGTCCATCCCCAGCTGCAAGATAAATATTTGTGTTTGTGGGTACAGAAATTGCTTGAAGTATAAAGGCTGCTTCATTAGGCATGAGAGGACATTTCCCCCTTTTCCTCCAAATGCGAGCTGCTTCTCCAGTCCATGGCTTTCTATCGTCTCCACGTGCAGCTTCAATGGCTTCCATGGATGTAGGAGAAAGGCCTGAGTACTGACATTGGCTATAAGCTACCATGTCTGGTTCAAATCGAAGGTGAAGGGAGAGGAAAGGTTTGGGAATGGCTTCCAGAAGCTCATTAGCCTTCTTCTCCAAGGATTTGGTCAGCCTTAATGCACTGTAACAGGCTTGACAAAGGGCAGCTTTTGCATACTGAGGGTACCTACAAGATGTCATAATAAAACAGAAAAGTACTCTTCATATATGCCATTAAATCTAAGAAACTAAAGCATGGTAAATTCTGAAACACAAATGCAATACCTATCCCTTCTTTGGCTCATTGCTGGTGTGATAGAGATGTAATGATGTTTCAACAAAGATGGAAGAACACTTTCAATGTAATCAAATTGACCTTTCCGCTTACTACAATCGACTCGAAAAGGTTCTTTTGATGATATCTCTGGTGGCAATTCTCTCACAACTTTGACAAAACCATTCATCTGTTTTATGAAGTAATTGACATCAAATACATCTGCAAAGCCACTGTGGTGAAAGCAAAAATCATAAAGATGTTATCTTTATAAAACATCATGACAACATAAACACATTTGGATATCATTAGGCACTCCATCATAGGACACAATTCAGCTATACACATTTGACAGTGAATTAAATGTAATACAACAAAAGAAGCAGTTACCAAACACCATAATCATGATTGCAGTATTTATGACCAAAATTACAGTATAATAAGAAATGTGTACTGATAATTGTTCATAATTTAAATAGTTAATTGAAAAAAAAAAGCATATGAGACATATCCTAACAATTTAATTAGCAATCCTTAGGGTATGTGTTGGCGACCTCTATGAAGAAACAATAAAGCTCTGGTCAGCACTCAGATCATTAATCTTATGAATTGTGGACAGGACAGTTGGGAAGAGGTTCAATTTCCCTAAAAGGAAAACTCAGTTGCTTGATCCAGAACATTTACTGTCTCGAGCTTCAATTAATAAAGCTTAACTAAATTCTTCCCCATTTTAATAGTTCATAACTGCAGGAACTGAAAGTCAAGCAACATGTGAGATTCTACTAAGTTCATCCCTTGACAACTATCTGCAAATTTTCAAAGAATAGCACAAGCATTTATCAACCAAACCACAAGCGTGAAATGTGATAAAAGAAAATGAAAATAAGGGTGACAACAACAATAAGATAGGGCCAGTAGCAGTGTCTAGAAGACATAACTAGTACAGTATCCCCCAGACTACCATACAACAGTTAATCAGCTATTGCCTTGGTTTTCATTTACACTCCTTACTATATCTTGCGATCTTAGAACTTTAATAAGTAGATTCATAATTCCCATGGTTCATTATTTTTTGTAGGACCATGGAGTTGTATTCTCTCTTCCTTTAATGAAATTCTTGATGATTGAGCAAATAAAAAAAAAAAGATTCATAATTATCAGCATTACATAGCAAAGGGTATTTCCACTCCTAGCATTATATAATTAGTGACAACTGACAAGTATAACATTACCTAGATCTCTACTGCCTTAACATGTTTGAAATGGTTCAACAAAGAGTCAAATAATATAGGCCCCTCAACACAAGATAATCTAGTCAGTTCATTTCTAATCAACTACAGCAATGCCAAAAAGACCTAGTGTCGGTTGAGTTATCACAAAAAGCAACTATTGATGAAAATTCCAAGAGATGTTCAGTCATTGATAAAAAAAAAAGGCCTAGACTACCTTGATTCATTCCAATATGCAGCCACCTCAAATTTTGGCAACACCAGAGTAGCATTTAGTAGACGTGCAATACCAACACCATCACAAAACTGCCAATCACCATAAAAACACCTGATTTTTAGCGCAAATTAAGGTTATTTTAGAAAAAGATTAACAAAATTTACAATAGTTATGCACTTACATCTCTCCTCATCTGATTGAGGCCACCATAGCAATTGACACGAATATACCCATTACTCTTGGCTGGTAGAGCTGCAGGATTTCAACAAAAAAACCAATGCAAATGTCTGCAATGATAGCCAATTAAAAAAAAATTGACTCAGAATATCAAAATTCAAACAAAAGCCTGTAACCTAATCCAAAAACCACTGTCCACTCTTTTAAAACTCTAATACAATTTCCAAAAATGTATTCTTTTCCACATACTTATCCCGAATCTATATCAAACATTAACCATATAATATAAGTATAATCCAAATATTATTTTCGAGCATCAACTAAAACAATGCTTCCTTATCTTTTACATGAAAAACTTCATAAACCCAGTTCCAAATACTAAATTTTACAACTTTTCTCCCTCCATCGGCAGCTAACTGTATTAAATTTTTTAAAAAAAATTCACAAAAAATATTCTTACCTCCAAATATATCATTAAATTTCCCCAAAATCCAAAAAAGAAAAAAAGTAGGCAATAGAGCTAATGCAAGAAAAATTACAAAAGAACATAGGCATTTAGTAAATACTAACGAGTTAAGTAGGATTGAAGCCACCAATTGCAAGGTCTCCACTCCACAATTCTCTTCACGCTCCATATATCCGATTTGCCACTGCAATTTTTGCCAAATCGACAAGGAGTGACAAAGAAATTCACCGCAACATGTTAAGTGAAAAATGAGAATCCACCGAGAGAGAGAACGGATTGGTAACCTGCTGAGCGAGTTGGCAGATGGTGAAGGCTGCAAAAACGGCGTCGAAGGAGAGAGCAAAACGATGGCCAAGAATAAGGAAAGCGTCGAGATCAATACGAACAATGGCTTCACCGATACCATAATCATTTCATGCAGTTTCTTTTCTCTTTTTTCTTTGGATCAGATTCAATTGGATTTGTTCTTTAAAGAACAAATCTAATTTTAAGGAGAAAAGAGATTGGGTTTTAGAATTTTTTAGGCAAACAGTACGAACATGGAGCGCTGGGCTAAGTGATGTGTGTGCAGATTGCGTTTTAATGGCTCGGATTGGACCGGAGTTTCACAACACCGATTTTTCCTTTTTTTTTTAATCGATATACCATCAGTTTGTATATTCAAAACTCAAGGCTGATAAATTTCTGATGAATAATGATTACCTTTTTTGATAAATACTTATAACTTTATCCTATCAAAAGTCAAAATTAATTAATTAAAAAATAATTATATTTTTAATTATTCTTTTTCTCAATCAAACTTCTTTTCTTTGAAACTCTAAATAAAAATTTTAGGATTTACTAAATGTAGTTTTTTGTGGACATTTTTGTTGAATTCTAGAAGTATATTGCCATTGATTCCGACAACGACATAACGAGGGTAAAATTATCCTGAAGATAGTTCTAAAGCTATAATATATACACATCAAGGTATAAAAATTTTTCAAATTCCATTCTTTTAATTATATATAAATAAATATCACATCTCAATTTTGGAGATATTACTAGTCTAAGGAACTAGATAAATATGACTAAGTAGATCCAAGCTAATCTGGTACTGAACTTACATAATATGTTCATCTCAACATTCACACACAATCACATTATATAATTCATATATATACACGCCCCATCACTCAATTATGAAACGTCTCAACATAAGGTGTGAAAACACCTTCATTCTCATAACAATGCCTATATAAAGTAAGTCTCATGTTTCATATCATATAAACATGCTTATACACACTCGACTGTCTATATAGGCTTTCGAGTCATCATTTAACATTAATCTATACATTTTCCTAAAATAAAATACCATATCTTGACTACATCATCATAAAACATGTTCAATCACATATAAATAATAAGGTAAATATCGACTCGCTAGTGAAGCGAGACTCAACTCTTTAGTTTCAAGTTGACTACTAAATCACTTATCAAGAAAGACCAAGAGGTCATCTTTGTGACAAAAGCAGTAAGATAATTATGAATCTACAATTAAAAAAAAAACTAATGTGTGAGTCACAAAGACTCGGTTTTGTAAGTGAATATGATATGGGGAAAAGTCAAGAGGAAGAGCTTTTGCACAAATCATAATTTGATACCAACATGAATATTGAGATAAGCATAACTTTCTTATTAAAAACTTGAAACTGATTTATTATATACCAAAAATTTTTCTTAGTTGAAATTGATATTTCATAAACTCATAGTCTACAAAGAAAAATTGAATGCTTTTGAAAAATCCTTTGTGAACAAACAAGAAAGCTGTACTATACTGGAAACATCGAGTCTTTTATAAGGGATATTGATACTTAGCTCTTAGAACCAAATTGTGGGTGTTTTACAACAATTTCCATATATGACTTAAATTACTTATATGAAAATTCTCACAGAATAGGAGTTTCCTCTAGAATTCAGCCATATGGAAACACACAATCAACATTCAATACATGACTCAATCTATGTTTAGAACTTAGTCTATCTATTGATCTAACGTAACTAGTCATAAAATTCTCAGCTAAATACCTAACAAAATAATGATACTATGAGTGGTAATCCATCCCAACTCAGAGCAAATAGAGTATTGTAACAACTTTCTTCCCGATCATTACCAACGTCTGAGACTTGCGAATAAACTCACCAAATCTCGAACAAGCCTTAGTTGTGATTCCTGTTAGTTAGTTCGGACACCTTAATGTGTATACTAGTTGACTTGAACTTTTATTATAACATTCTACTTGTGATGTTCATTAAAGATTTTGCCGACTAGTAATATTACCATCATTTACTTTAATCGAATAAACAACTGTAATTAGTACGTAACTACTCAATGGCAATATCCAAATGTAGTAAACTTCAAGACAAATTTCAACATCCCACTTAGTATTCATCACACCAACTCAAGGTTTTAGCAAATACACTTCCAGTAAACTATTAATAATTTCTATAAGTCTAAGTCTAAGAGATGTCATTACCTACATTGCAGTGAGTCAAGATATGCTTGTAATGACCTTTTCCCTGATCGTTACCAGCATCTGAGATTTGCAAGTGAACTCACCAAATCCCGAATAAGCCTTAGTTGAATTCCGGATAATTTAACCAAACATTATAATACGTATATAAATCGACTAGTAATAACCAAATTATAATATCCAAGTTTAATCGACTTTGGCTAGTTTCAACCATACACTTAAAGCCCATTACAAATAAACTAATAATTTTCATGAGATTGATTGTTCTACACAACATGACCTCTATGCAGCAGAGCGACTCAAAGTGGAGGTCAAGAGATGTCGTTTCCTATGTTGCAGCAAATCTCGATGTGATGTGCAATGCACTTGAGCTGATTACTTATATGCAAAAGGAAATAAAAGGGGGTGAGTCTCACAAACTTAGTGATCATCAACTCCGTGAGTAGGGCATAAATGGGAAACAAGTGTAAAGCAGATAAGTTTGAACATTAAAAACATATGAATATGTATAAACAATTTAAGATCAAATGGGGTATTTGTGCCTTACATTTAAACCCAAAAGTCATGATGCAAATAATCATTTCAAATAATGTATTAAAACCAGTGTAAGTAAAAGATTTCTATCGTCGAAATCATTTATCATCTTTACTCAGATTAAATTAGTATAATCACGCACCCTCCTGTCAAATCAAATATTATCAAAATTGATACATAAATTCGGAAATCGCCTTATATGCGAGGAGTTAAATCCAACATCATAGTATAAGTAAGGGAGCTACAAAAAATCTTATAGTTTTCACCATGCAAAAGAATACGTATAGAAAACCAAAAGAGAAAGTAGATAAAAAAAATAAGAACTCATGGACCTGCTTCCACGTAATAACATTCGGGAGCTCTACTCCACCAGATCCCATAGTCATGCCAGTCTTGATGTTGTTGGTCAACATCAGAGAAATCAAGCGGTCATAACCTTGTATATCAACTTGTGGCCTCGCCACATATAACAACTCGTGGCCTTGCCACGTATAATCACATACCATGGCCCTAGCCACGTCTAATAGCCTATCGGTGATCTAAAGGTTCTCTAGCTAGAGCTCACTTATGCATAAAGGTCACATTTTTTCGATGTGACATCCGACCTACTCTCGAATCTCCCAGTTAGATGAAATCATTTAAAATAAATTAGGTTCTCAAAAAGCTCATTTAAAATCCATTTCAAAGGTACCAATCATTGTAACATGATAAAACGTCTTTTGGTAAGACTTTGCAATGTAAAACCTTTGCATGAGTTTTAGATGTCAAATCAGCACAGCGAATATGAAATTCATTCATGAATGCAGATTACACAATCAATAAAGCACATTTTGACATAAATCATATTAAAAAGCTTGGTTCTTGATTTTCAAAATCCTTTATGTATATAACTCATATACATATAGTCAAAATAATTTTAAACACTTTAGCATCCACTATTGCCTAGGATATCTACCAACTCATGCTATCCACAAATCGCATTTAAAGTAAATCGACACATCAAGTAATCGTATAGCAATATATATATAGTATGGATATTTGAAAATCGACACCCCTACTCATTGTACAATAATGGGATACCACGTCGCTATTGACTCAGATGCGTATCTAGCTAGTTTTACTTACCGGTGACCCATTATCTCCTTTGGCACGCCACCACGGTAATTTGCCTCACTTACTCACTTCCTAGCAACAAGACAAACTCAGTATACTTAATTATTCACATGCATGGTAGCATATCAATCAATAAATCCTTAACCTAATTTCATAGCTTTCATCAACCTCACTCACAATCATTTAGCATACAATCCACCTTGTTTCAACCAACCAAGGCCAACACAACACAATGTAGTCACATTCATACTTTCCTTTCGGTTTTAGCTTGAATTCCACATATGATTCACAACTTCCTCACATTTTTTATCACCATTGCTGCCACAAACATAGACAATGAATATACATCTCATTTTCCCTTTCTATTTGTGATTTCAAGACTAAAATATTTACCCATTGCTTATTTAGCTTCAAAATCACCATGCATTCCAAGATTTACCTACATGCATGCCTCGGGTTCTTGAATCCTTGAAGATGCTTGCTACAACAGGCAAAATGTCACATTATAATCGGTTCAAAGACATGCATTTCAAGCAAAATGATAGTTTCTACCCTCCTTATCTTAGAATTTCTAAACCGAATCACCAAATCTCTTTAAACTTTAACAATAGCGTGTGTGGGGGGGGGGGGGGGGGGAGGAAAACCTCTCAGTTTCCTTTAGCTCCTCCAAACCGAACCTTCCTTTCTCTTTTTCTACTTTCTCCTTTCTTCCTTTCTCTTCTTCTTTCTTTCTTAACTCTCTTTGCTTCCAAGCCGATTCTCTCCTTTCTTTCTCAAAGGTGCGATTTTTCTTAAGACAAAGCCGTTTTGTTGGCTATTTCTTTGGTGTGGGTGGATATCATAAGGATAACTTGTGAAAGCTTTCTTTTTCTTTCCTTTACATGCCATGCCATTCAATTCCCTTTCTTATCCATTCCTTTATCCTTTACATGCCATGCCATTCAACGCCACTGCCCATTGGTGGCTTGTTCATTCAATGTTTCCTTATCCATTCCTTTATCCTTTGGTTAGATTGCCTTGCCCATGTATTGGTCCACATGGTATTTTATTCTTTTACTTCATTTGCATTTCACTTCACATGTATTTCCATGCATTTCATTTTCATCTCCTCTTAATGCCACCTTATCACCTAATAATATTTCATACTATGATTATACCTTTTTTTCTCTTTTCAAATCACATTACCATCCTTGCTTTGTTTACTATAGGCTATCTTTACCAAACCATGATTTTCTTCCACTTAAATTCTCTTTATTCTTTTTCTCTTTATCAACTTTCACATGGTGGGGTCTCACATGTTTCTTACTAACTTCTTACTTTTTGCATGCAATGATTTGCATATAATAGTGAATTCACATGTACATCTCATATCCCACATAATATAACTTCCCTTGGTTAGTAAATTCACATTTAACTTTAAATGTTAAAATTACACATAAGTCCTC